CTCTCTTCAGTCTCTGGAAAGTGACATATTGTCACTTAAAATCATTAACTATTTGACTGTGAGACTGCTGCATGCACAATATGCCACACTGCCGGCAGTTCACTAACGGTTAATGAATAATAAATTAACACTAGGACTCTGAGCCCTTCCTTTCATCAGACAAGATTTCCAGAGGCTGAAGAATCTCGGAGGATCCTTTACAAGCGACAGTCGATGTAATTACCTACAAGAAGCAGCAAAGTGGTGGGCGAGGTTCAGGAAAGGGCTGTGGTAACTATTGCTAGCACTCTTCCAAACAGCTCGTCTGTTAGGTCCGACTCTGCCCACTGGTTTCTGCAGTACCCTGCACTGATGCACGTTGCAAGCATGCAGGCGGGCAGCCAGGTAGCCGCCTGCCTAGAGAAAACATGCTGTCCCCTTGCTTTGGGCGGCAGAGCAGATTGCAAAAGGGCTTTCTCCACTGAAAGGTGTGCTCCCTACCCAGCTCCCAAGGAGAAAAGATTCAGCTGTGAACCGAGCTGACACACTTCTCTTGTCCTCATGAGAAAGCGTGGCTAAGCCTGGAAACTGAAATGGGGGGGAGCAGCTCCCAGTGCCTGAGAGCCAGTCTGTGCCTCAGTTGCTTTCTGCAGAGCAGCCTCAAAACACTCCCAGCTGTAAAAATCTTTGGACTGGGTTTGTCTCTAATTATGTGTATGTTCAGCTTTGCTCGGGGCCTCTACAGGCTGCCAGAATATGCATAATATACTAACAGTAATAAAGGGGTGAGGCAGCCAGTATTTAACAGTAGCAATTAGTGAGGCGGACAATTCCTCCTTGGTTAAGCGGACAATATCTGTCCGGGATACTCATAGTGAAACAAATCAATAAGAGCATTGCACCAGGTTACATGTCTATTGCTGGTTTAATTTCAGAAACCTGGATGAAATAAGATGCCCTCCATAGTGCCCTGCTGCCTTTGTAGACGGAGTTGGTTTCTTTGTAAGTCAGAACAATGTATTTTCTCTTCCTTAATTCACTGTTAATACCTGCACCCTGGGATTGTTGCTGTGATATAATCGCACAATAGCTTAGGAAAAAAACAGCATGAGGCATACTATTAACATAAGGTATGAATGCTGGTTTTTTATTTAGCAGAGATTTCAGGATTCATCAGGAGCTTTCAAGGTGCAGGACAAGGTCTTCGGGCAGCATCTGCCACAGAAAACTTTGCAAGGGAGGGTTCCTCTTTCTGAGCTGAAGCCCTTCGAAGAGTTAACACTCTCGAAGATGTAGCAAGGCAAGAGTACGACGACTTCTTCTGAGGAGGAGGAAATAGGTACCTCAGAGATAGAACATCTGGGCTTTTAATGTTGGTCTGTCCCTCCAGTGAAGGGCATATCATAGAGGAACATTACCAAAACAGAAAACTTCTGAAAGCTATTACAGCCATTTGCTTTTATTGCTAACATTCAAAGACAAGATGAAGACTTAATTTGAAGGAAGAACAAATAGGCTGTAGGAAGTAGACTTTGTATGCTGGAAGAAAGCTCTTCAGCAAATTACTTTACTACTCTTACCTCTTTCTACCCGAAAGAAAGGAATCCCTGGTGAAATCTCCCCATAAAAATCATCAGCCCTTACTGGTAAGTAAACAGGTAAACACAAAATAAAAGAACTTCACTTCTCACAGCGAAGGGCAGATGGATTAGTTGGTTTAAGCTTAGCTGTTTAGTTAGTGAAAAGATTTATTTTCATACATACAGAAACGCATTGCAGAATAAACATTTATTGCCATATGTTACGCCGTCAGACCCGCAGTGTGGGATGTATTCCAGAGTGCAGAAAGAGCTGGGTATGACATAGTCACTGCAGTAGCCCTGTAGATAGATGCAATATCATGTTCACAAAAGATCTCTCAACTACTGATGGGTGATGTTAGGAGAGACCGGAGATCCACCTGGGCTTCCTCTGCTACTGGCCAGTAGCATATGCCTAGGAAGAGCCTAGGCACAGGGCAGGAGTACAGTGGTGTGTTGCTGGAGCGCCCTTCCAGCCTCTAGCAATGTAGAGCATGCGTAAATGTCATAAATGCTGCTGCAGTAACTGCGACAATAACGTGGGCACTCACTGAATCCTGCACTGCTTGTTGAAACTATCAGATGGAAATGAAAATTTCACCCCATAATATGTGTGGCAAATATTGCTCAAACAGCTGGAGGACTCAGAATCTTCAAATGCTCAATCACAATGCGATTAACAAATATTTCTATTGAAATTGCTTTCAGGACTGAAGTAATGGAGAATAACCAGAAAGAACTATCCCTTACCTTCATCTTCAGGGCAATGGTATCTGAAAAATAAAGAAAAAAAAATTGAAAAGTAGAAAAACAGTAGAAAGAAAAACTGTAGAAACTGACACAAATACAGGTCCTGGGTACTGGTGTAGTTAAAATCTGCAAATGTATGTCCTGAATTTACAACTTTCAATTCACTGTTAGCAAATACCTTCTTAGACAAAAATAACGCTACACAAAATTTTGTGCCATATTGCATGTTACAGCACTGACTCTGCACAGTGCACATCATGAGAATTACAGCCAAGATGCAAAAGGGTCCATAAAATGAAGGAAAAGAAGAGAAATATATTTTCTATGGCTCAGAGGATGAAGCAGGACATGTACTCAGAGATAAACAGGTTAGTGAGAAGAACAGGGCCGTACAGCTGTTCAATATCCTGGGGCAGCTTCTTATATGCATTTCCACAGAAGTACTTAAATAACGGAAGTATTCCGTGAGAAGTAATGTTTATAAAGCTTCTACAACTGTTTAGGCTCTCAAATCACATCTCTCAGTTTGTGATGACTGCAAGAAAAGTTCAGTTCCTTTCAGTAAACTAATTTGTGTTTCTGCAACATTTCAGAGCTTAAATACTGGATGTCTGAGTCCCCTGGTTGTACCACATACATGTCACTTCTTTCATTATGCATAAACTAGCGTTGAGCATAGCGCTGTTCCCACAGTTGTTCTTACCCACTCAGTTTTGTTGCTAAAATATTACCCCATAAGTGATAGTCTCTGATGTCAAGTCTTTTCAACACCATCCTTCTAGGAGTAAATAAGTCCTTGTAGAATGAAACTCTTCCCAGTCTGACGATGTTTTTGTAGTTTTAAGACAGCCAGAAGTTACTCAAACACAGAGCAATAGGCGCTAGGCAGCGAAGTTACTCACCTGGGAGGCAGCAAAGGGCTAGAGCAAACAGCATCAACACACCTGCTGTCTTCATGGCGGCTGAAGTGTCTGCACACAGCCCTGGTTTAGCTCAATAAATGTGGTCCTAATACTCTCCTCAGATGGTGATCATGCATATATATGAGCACGCGCATGCGTGCGTGCATGTCTGTCTGTGTATTTGTATTTGGTTTATCCACCCTTATTCTGATATAACGTTCCAGATCTGTTGTCAGGGCGGTAATCTTGACGGTATTTACTGAGGTAAGCCATGTTCCAAGCCAGGAAGAATGCGTCTTCATCAACAAGAATCACAAGAAGTTTATTTATGTTAAATACACCCTATGTGTCATTATTTCAAGTGAAATATGTGATCGATAGCTTCTGAAGAACCACAAAAAAGTCCCGCACGCAAAAGGCCAACTTTACGAATCTGAACAATGTATACTGCCAAATTTTCTCTATGTGCATGTGTCAGTGTTTATTTACAGTCAGTGCTTTTTCATGAGCAAGATGTTGCAGATCTGAAATGAATGGCTTCCAGAGTGGAACTTCTTTACTTTTAGTCCCATGCTTCATTCCAATAAGGCATCATTAAATTTTAGCAAAATCAGAAAAACAGCAGACTGGCAAAGCAAGCAACAGGGTGTCTCAAATGCTGAAGAGAGTCCTTGGACTGGGCTAGAGATGGAACAGCTTTTATGGGCATTTGCAGAGAATTTACAAACTGTTGATTTTCCCTAAAGAGCATTAGCATTATGGATTAGATTGCATTAGTAGCCTGATAGTTTGATGATCTCACAGTGACATGACTCGATAGCTTAGATCCCAGAAAAGTTGAATTCAACTTGGAAATCACTGCTTCATCCATCTACCAGTCTCAACATAAGCTACTCTGAGGCATCCTTTTCTTGGATTATTTCATTCCATGAAGAAAAAGCAAACTCCCCTCTCTCTTTAGCTCCCAAAAGGAATACATATGGAAGACATTACTTTTTAGAAGGGATATGTCTAATTTATTTATGTTTCTCTTATGTGGATCAAAAGACTCCACCAATTCAATACACCAGCAAAGGACAAAAGGAAAATAAATTTAATGGACAAGGAGCTAATGAAAGACTCAAAAACAGAAGGACATTTTGCCTTTGGATTGTGAAATAGCGCTCAAATAGTTCCTTGACTGGCAAGTGATACTGTTATTAAGGATTAAAAGAGAAGACAAGGAGACAGGAAGCATCCCTAGGAGGGCACTTATCTGAAAATACTTGAGTGTTATTAATGGACAATTCCAAGATGAGAAAAGCCTAGAAACAAGTCACTTGGAAGACCCAGACAAACAGGCAGGGCATACTCACATGCCTGAAAAGTATGGGCCTTGTTGGCAGACTGCCTTGCAGAATGCTACACTCTTGGTGAGAACTGTACTCAGGAGGCCAGGGATCAGCTCTTGGTTCAGGCAACAGCACCGCCTCAACCGCTTTTGCTGATGACGCCTACACAGGGAAACAGCACCAGAAATACTTTAGCTATACCTCAGCTAGCATCATCAGTTCAGAGCAGTCTGTCATCCCCTTGTAATGTCAAATATCTGAAAGTGCTTGATTACTAATGTAGGCCAAGTATCGTTTAAGCATCTGTTTTTAATTTTCGCCTTTTATGACAGGGAGGGGAGCAAGATGTTGTTCTTGTTGTATACCGGAGCTATGAGCACATAACCTATTCACAGCCAGGCATCAACAAATCAGAAGAAAAACATTGCATGAGACAGAGCACTAACCAAGACAAAAAATGTTGCTGATTTGAGTTTATTGAGAAAGAAAATCAAGGGTGAGCTGAGTCCCCCAGAGAGCAAGATGAACTGAGGCGAGATCTTCAGTTGGGGTCACCAGCGGGGATCTCGTGGAAATTCTCTCAGCACTGATATTCAGCATTTTCCAAAATGCCTTAAAGTGAGAGTGCCACTGCTCTCCCTGAAAGTGAGGGGAGGAAAAAATGGATTAGACACAGACTACTGCCTACTGTAATCTATCCTTTTGCTTGGCTCCTATAGAAGGCATTAGATAGGATCCTGCCCCAGAGCCGGAGGATCTCAGACTCAGAGAATCTCATTAGCCATTTCATTTCATTATTAAGAAATGAGTGCAATGATTTAACTCGTTCTTAAGACTGAAAATATTTTGGGAAACTATAACGAAACTTTAAATTTAATTTTCTTTGCAATAAGTGAGAAAACTCCATTAAGGCTAATGGTCTTCAGACCATTCACACTAACAAACCAGGCATAGCTCTTTGTGTGCTCAGATGAAAAAACTGAATGGTTGGCATGGTGCCTGGTATTCTCTTCTGCCTCAAATCCCTAGTCGACACTGGTCAGTAAGCAGGAAAACAGTAGCTGTGCAAACTTGCGCCTGTAGGAGGTAGCAAATAACACAAATGCAATCCATGTTTGTACATACACAACTGCATTGCAGAAGTTGCACTTATTGCTGTACGTTTTGCTGTCAGAGCCACACAGAGGCATATAGTCAAGCGGGCAGACAGGCTTTGGGTAGTCACTGCAGTCAACCTGCAAAAAAGAAGTCTGATGTGAAAGATACGAAGGAGTCGGTAGCAGATGGGCTCGAACCCCTGGCTACAGCTTCAATGATAAAGATAACAATCTGTTTCCTAAACAGAATAATTAACTTCCTCGCACAGTCTGACGTAAGCTGAGGTGTCAGTTTCTCCTACGCCAGAAAAATTTAATAAAATAAAAATAGAACATAATTTCCTGTTTAAAGAGATCTATACCATAATCTGACCACAGCATTTCTAAGCAGCAGCAGTTCACTCAGTGAATGTGCCGTGCTTGTGATCAGATTGCATCACGCTCCCAGCCTGTTCAGGAAATTAACTGGAAAAACCCTAGTGTCTAGAGAGGTGGAAGCATTGATAAATATGTAAGGGTCCAGTGTCTCTCCCATAGTCTTACAATGGGAAGATTAGCGTCTGTCTAGATGCTATGAGAGTGGGATTTTATTTCTTTGTGCAATGGGCACTACACTTACTGAGGGATATTGTAGTGCAAAAAATTTATATGGGTCCAGGAAGGGGCTAGACATTTTCATGGAAGACAAAGCCATCGAGGTTCACTGAGTACATAGAAAGCACATCTAGTTTAAGAAGTCCATCAGCCGAGAAGACCTGGAGGCTGGAAGACCATTTAGTAAGAGCTGTACACATTCACTCTGTTCCTACTCTCTCCTGTACAGTCCTTTCGACCACTGCTGAAGGTTGGGCTCTGCACGTAGCCACCATGGGCTTGGTGGACCATCAGCCTGACTTCAAAAGCCGTTCTCTGCACTTATTCTTAGTTCTGCCCTGATGGCTTTTTTTGCTCCTGATTTTTTACTGACACCTTCCTGTGCAATCACTCTCTTCTTTTTCTGATGTGAATAGTGTGGATAATGTGTATTATGTGTGGAGAAAGCAAAAATCTTTCCCTGTGTTGAAGCTATACTCCCATAGTCTGCTACTAGTCTGCAGGCTGCTACAGACACTGGCGCTCTTTCCACTGACATCAGCAGGGCTAACACCTGGTCCTTCATTACATAATTCACACTTACTGTAGCAAATTCTCTTCTGCATTCACCGTCGTACTTCTTGCCAACGCTGGTACCTTGCTCTCTGGAAAAGGAGAAGCAAGTGTTAGGGAACTCTTTGAGCAACCTGCTCTGTTAAACTCCATGTCCCAGCGATACTAACTGGCCTCAGGTGTAGCATACGGGATACAAGATACATGCAGCCTTAGGCTGTGTCTGCTCTGCTCTAGACACCAGCTCAGGCATCAGCCCCTGTCTCCCCAGCAAGATGGGCCACTGTGACTCACATCTAAACAGCTCAGGGCTAGCCCTCTCCATGAGAGGGGATCTTTGTTCACCTTCCTGGGTCTTCCTGGCACGCAGCTGGTACCCAATGGCGTTGAAGACATGCACTTGAAGGCAAATGCTTGGAGGCATTTTTGTTCAAAGTGCCAGATATAACGTGAGGTGGTGCCACAGCCTGCCAGAGCTCCGTTTTATAACGCATGATGAGAAGGACAAGAGAGGGGACAAGGTGTTGGGGGAAATAGGAGCTAGGTCATTTGACAATGTAGATGCACCTTAAGTTAGCTGCTGTTCTCTGCAAGGCAACATCGGCCACACAGACCCTTTTAACTTAGTTAAGAGAAGCATTCTCTCCTGCATTAAATTCCCACTCAGCCTTCTATTTCTCTTTTGAGATGAAAGGCACGGTTTTCCTTCTAAGCACAAAGGAAAACAGGGTCTACTTATCAGGCAAGGAGGAAGGTCAAAGTCCACCAGCCTTACAGAAAAGGCCTCAGTAGAAAATTCTGCTATTTAAAAGTGCAGCTGCCAGGAATCCAAAGCACTTGTTGCCTACTCATAAGGAGATCTCTGCATACACAGTACTTACACATTGTGAGCGCACAGCAGGCATTCATTGCCGTAAGTGATTCCATCAGTACCGCAGACAGGGCTGAGGCTATCGGTGCAGAGCGGCACCTCTTTGCCTTCCTCATTTGTAGTGTTGGAATATTTACTGCAGTCGAGCTGTGGGAGGAACATACAACAAAACACTGGTGAAGGCTTATTTATAGGGAGCAAATATATCTGGCGGGTTTGTGCCTTTGGTCTTTTGAGGGTCCACCACAGTAGAAAAAAAATGCCTTTGTGTCACTAGGATGAAATTTTGCCATAAGAAGGCCAATACAAGATCCTGGCATCTCATACATCCTCTCATCTAGTGTTTGAATCGTCTCTTGGGAAAGTCGATAAGCAGCTTTGACCACTCAGAAGTTTGAGCTGACCCCTTGCCTTTCCCTTCATTTCACTTACAGGAGCAACTTTGCATTCTCCATCGTAGTCTTTGCTGACATTGGTTCCATATTCACTGGATAGGGAAAGACAAGCATTAGGAAGTTCAGAAAAGAGTTCTTACTGCATCCTAAGCGCTGAGAATGTCTCTCATATAATGGAAATCAGACTCATTTGAGTTTGTCTGCTCACAAGGAGAGTTCCCCTATCCAGTACGTACATGTTGTAGGCACACAGCAAGCATTCATTACTGTAAGTGACTCCATCAGAACCACAGATGGGGCTGAGGATTTTGGGGCAGAGTACCACCTCTTTGCCTTCCTCATTTGTAGTGTTCGGATATTTACTGCAGTCAACCTGTCAAAGGAATGTACAACTGGGCAGTGAAAATATTTTACATTTACATCTCTCATTTTATATGAGAGAAGGACCAGATAAAACCTTCCTGCACTGGGTTTTTCACTCTGTTGTTGCAAGAAGAAACTTGTGCAAGCGTGTTACTCTAGTAACGGGTGGATCCTTCCTGCAGAGATACCCTACATCCCAACGCAGTGGGTGAGGGGGATGACAGGGTTGCACCCACGCAGCCACCATCTGGCGTAAATCAGTGGCAGTCTCTTATACTCAGTAGATGTCATTTTTATAAAGACTGAGCTCTGGTCCCTCGTTCTTACCTTCATGTGGCATTTCCAGTGAGGTTCCACTATTACTCATTCATTTTCAAAGCATGGGTGGTTTTATCAGAAGAACAACTCTCATGAGTATCCACATGTGATGTGTGGAAGCTGGAGTGCTTTATTCAGTTTTATTTTTTCATCAGGTTTCTGATGCTACAGACTATGGCGATCAGTTTAGTGCTGGTCATATATGGCCAGCTTAGAGCTAAGATCAGGTTAGAGCTAGTCAGAAATGAATTCACCCAATAAGTTTATGCTATTACTACTACTACATTATTAACATACAGCATACATGTAGAGCTAATAGTATAATATACTATTTTATACTATAGCATTAACAGAAAGACAATATTCTTTTTTTAAAATCATCTGATTAAAATGACACCAATCTCATGTTTGGAGAAAAATAGTTAAGCATCTGCAGGCTTTAGATTTTTCATTCTTTTGATTATTGTGCATTTACTAACTGGCTATATCGGGCCAGATATCTGAAAAAAGTGAAAGAAAAATCTTCTGCTCACCTCAACCCCAAAGGCAGCATCTGGAAAAGAGAAAAAGGAGGCAGAAAATACGAAACAAAGCCAGTATGATCACTAAGACCTCAGTTACACTTGGGAATCTGGATGTAGCATTCCTACATGCTGTATCAAATTTTATGGCTTTTACCGAATGGTTTCCTGAATTAATAAATCAGGAGGAATTTTTTTTCTAAGTTGACAAATATAATAGTGTTTCTTACTGCTGATTGTGAAGAAATATGCTTTTAAATAGCTTTCTTCTTTTTTATTTTGAGATAGACTTATTAATTCAATAGAATAGCTTTCCCTTCCTTATCTTTTATACATTATTTTTGATCCTAAAGAATAGCTATTGCTTATCTGAAAAGGTATCCAAGTCAATATAGATAAATGCAAATAGTCACCAACAGGATAAACAAACATATACAGCACCTGTTGTCAAGAATATGCATTTCAAAAGAGCTGAATGTATTAAAAAAAAAAAAAAAGTCTTTCTTCAGATCTGAAAATGCAGAGAAAACAAACTCTGGCTTGTTTTCATGCCTTGTTGTTCCACTTGCAGTGAGAGCATTGCAGGTAAGTTGTCAGGCTTATGCACAGAACTTGCTTGTGCCATTACTATATATTCCATGAGTAGTTATTGGAGGTCTGATCACCTCATTATGGCCTTGTTTCAAGTACTTACCCATTTACCTTAACTGTACACAACATTAATTACAAGCACAGAACTCTACTTGTGGTTATTTGTATTTTTGACAGACAACAAGTTACAACAGTAATCTGCTTAAGACTGTCCAGAAATCTGATCCTATATTCTGTGCAACACCAACATAACCGAGACAGACCGGCTATCCTGGTTTTTTTTTTTTTTTTTTTTAAAAAAAAGATAGCCAGGTTGTCTCTCAGATACAAAGCCTCTACAGGGCTTTGAGAGTTACTCACCTGGGAAGCAGCAAAGCGTGAAAGAGAGTAGCACAAAAACAATTGCCATGGTCATGGTGGAAGTATTTCTTGAGTCTGCAGGCTACCTGCTAGTGGTCTGCTCATGAGATGGCCTCCACAAGGCAGACAGCGAATATATACAAATGCAGGTGTCTAAACTGTTCAACTGTAACATAAAACAACCAGCCGAATCTGTCACTGGTACAATGCAGCTGGTAATATTTATTGAGATCTTGACTTTCAGGTAATGGTCTGCCTCTACTAGGCAATTGATTTTGGCTGGACATTTGGTTAATAGCTTGAGACAAGTATCACTTGTTCTGTGGGCAAACAACTTTTTGACAAAGAAAATGTGTTAGTATTCTAGTGGAAATGTACGTAGTGCAAAATATTGAGGGGATTAAACGACAGATTTGTCATTCTTCTCTGCAGCATAAAATCTCCCAGTAGGATGCCCTCCTCCCAGGAGCAGTACAGGTATGAGGTACTACCCTGTTTGCAAATTAGCCTGAGAAGCTCTGATTTCCATTCTGCTTCCTGGCTATTTTCTGCATTCGCAGATATCCACCACTAGGCAAGGCATGAACATGGGTCAGGTGTGGCTTTGCCATCAGCGGAACTAGTTAAACATTGCCAGGTGACTCTGCTAGGCTGTATCTGGCCTGAGCAGCTATTGGTATTCAGTGCTGGTTTGATAAAAGAAAGGGTTTTTTGGCAGCTTCACTGCAGAGGTATAGAAAAGCTCAGCAGAAGACTTGAAAGCAGGTTAGAGTCTGTCAAACTCCACTAAAAATGTCACTTGAACCTTATCAGCAGAGAGTACTTATTTACAGACCAAGTCACAGTTAAATGAATTGATTCAAGATGTTCTGCCAAGACATCTCAAGAACAAACAACAGTGAAGCTTTAGCAACATGGGCACAGCTAGATTTGGAAGTACAGTAGATCCTTTTCCTATACAGATATTCTAGAGAATGATACTTAAAACAGAGCCTGTTCCAATTTCCCAGTCTGTCTCTCACCTCCAGCCTCAGTACTGTCTCTCTCCAAGTTTCTCCTCCCTAGGAGGAGGCCTTGGCCTTCACTATTTTAGTGAATTTAACTTTGCAGCAGTGGGTTCTGCCTTTAACCTAAATATCTCACCATGATTTCTCTGACAGGTCTGAAATGGCAAGCCTACCTGTTTAAGTTCATGAACTCTAAGCATTATGCTTAGCATAGAGTTTGGCATTGTGGGAGCTACAGAGCAAGAGATGCTTTGCAGGCGTTTCCTTGAACAAAAGACGCACCATCCATTATTCAACTGAAACACGACCGAAAAAATTGAAATTTAGCCTAAGCAATTGTGTTGGTGCCTGATACTTTGTCGTGGTCTAAAGGGTATACTCTGATCCCTAAACATATAAGTTGCACTGTAGTGTGTAGAATCATACATCTTGGACACTGGCACGTTATGAAAGTCATAGCATGGCTGTATAGAGATATAGGTTACGTTTCTACATAAAAAGATTTGTTTCCTCACAGGAAGAAGCATTAGAATAGGTACTCTGCTGGGTTTTATTCAAAGAAATTACTGGAAGCATGTATGAATATTTTCAACAGAATTAGCACATCTTCAATGCATATTGCCCTTACGTACATTGTGGGTATTTGCCTGTTCTGACTGTGGAAACCAGTGACTTTTTCCCTTAGCGTTGATAGGAGCTCAGTGAAGCTCCTGCCATGTGCCATGCTTGTTGCCTTCATTGGTTCATAAGTACAAGCTGTCAATCACCTAGCACAGCAGAGGTAGATACTTCTTTGTGCCTCAAGTAGGAATATTGTCACTGCCTTCTGTAGCAATCCAGTGAGATCTCTGCAAGTCATCCTAATTAGCTTTCTAGGCCTGGACCTGATAATTTTCAGCCTGCAGCAGGTTCTTCTGCCTGGTGTCTACTCTGCTGCTCCAGGCTGCTCTCCACCCTGGACAGTGCTGTCCTCTAGGCAGGATGCACCCACTACTGATAAGTGGAAGGCACCTTCCTATCAAAGATGGGCACATGGTTGTCCATAAATACTGGGGAAAAGTGCACATGTGAGAAGACACCACAGGGTTGCCTCCTAAGCAGATCACTGAGCCTTCACCACCCACCTAGATCTAAGGCGGTACACCCACATGCGCATACCTCATCCCCACAGTCAGGCCTTGCTGAGGGGTACAGGAAGTGCTCAGGACAGAGCTTTTACCACTGCAATTGCCTGATTCAGTACTAGACCTGGCACTTTCTGGCCCTGAGCAACCCATAGATTTCCTTGCACCACCACAATGCCCTTCTCTTGTTTGGGAGATCACTTTTGCTGCTCACCTCACAGGGTTGCTAGGGAGACTGAAGTCTATATGATGGTTAAGTGCTGACTGAGGAAAGTCAGCCTCCCTTGAGAAGCTTCAGGCAAGCCACAAAAACAACCCCCAGCAATCACCAGGCTTCAGCGTATGGAGTGGAGTCACTTTGTAGCCTCCTTCCTCCACCCAGCCAATATCTTCAGCTTCCACATCTGGTATCCTTCCACAGGGTGGAAATCCCCCAGCTAGTCAAGACTTTGTCATAGAGAGACAAGTTGCTCAGTTCTTAGCTACTCCTAGAAGGACAGCTAGAAAGAGCAATCCTGCTGCCGATCTTATGCTATAATCCTCTGCATTATGGCCTCTCCCCCTTCTAATCTTTGAAGTCAGATGCTGCATATGGCTAATGACCACTTGGCTAGAGGAAAATCCCCATGTGTGCAGAGGCCAGCACAAAGGCAAAGACCTGTAAGCAAGAAAAGGCAGTGCCACATTTTATATAAGGTCCTGAACTCTAGAGGGTCTCTGGGCTGACACCAGGGCAGGATTTGGCCATTGGCATGACTTCCTCTCTTACTTACCCAAGGAATTTCTTGTTTTGCATTTTCCATTACAGTTTTTGCCAGTATTGATGCCATATTCTCTGCAAGAATCAAAACTGAAGTTAGGACACTTTCTTAGCAAATAATATGACTTCTTACTGTAATTCACTGATAAATAAATGACATTAATGATTTAATACGCTTTTCCAAACATTCCTGGGCTTTGTCACTTTATTTAGTTAACAAATAATTGCTATCAAAGCGGGAAATAACAATAATTAGTTGCAGTTGTTTCATGAAATTGCCTATACTCACTCCAGAAGGCCTGTTAAGTATAATTCAAACTGCAGTTTCCATCTTTGCTCTTCACTCGGCCACAGTGTGACCAAAAACTATTTACACTGAGCCACACACCTGGAAAAATTGATAGGCATGAAGGCAGCATTTGAACTAATCTAAAAAAAAAAAAAACAAACAAAATCACCGATACAGTTAAGGATACGTTTTCCTACTGATATGTTTTGTGTTTATGAACTCATAAATAGAGTTTGATTCAGGTAATGCCAGTGAATGTTTTCCTGAACTAACAAGAACATGGGCAGAGCTTTGTACCCTGTGGATGAAGGCTAATATGGTTTCACATTACTTATGTGATGAGTTTAATGTACTGGCCCCCAAAACAAGGGCAGATGTTGACATGCTGGAAGGAGTCCAGCAGAGGCCACCAGCAGGTCAGGAACTGGAGCACAGGGTGTATGAGGGGAGGTTGAAGGAGCTGAGGTCAGTCAGCCTGGAGAAGAGAAGGTTATGAAGGCTCTAATTGTAACTCCCTAATGAGGGTTACACAGAAGGCCAAGCCAGACTCTTCTCAGAGTTACACAGCAAAGGGATGAAATTCTAACTGAGTAGAAGAAAAATATTATTTACCACAAAGTTGGTCCCACAGTGGTGCAGGGACCAGAGAGGCTGTGGAGTCTCCCTCCTTGGAGATACTCAAAACTTGACCGGACCAGGAACACCATGAGCATCCTGATATGACTTTGAGGTTGGATCTGCTCTGAGCAAGTACTGAACTAGAGACCTCCAGAGAGCCCTTCCAACCTAAACTATTCTATAAATACAATAGTTATATAACGTTCTCTCCTACAAATGGTTTTTATTAATGGAAGAATATACTGTATCTCTATAACCCAGGAGAACCATCTCAGAGTTTTCCTATATCCTCGATAAGGGCAACAGGTAAATGACATTGAGTTCCCAACACGTTTTCAGAGGATGGCCAGGAAGACTATGCACAGCAGAAAGAGTAGATTTCAATCACTATTGAAAAAAAAAAAAATTAAACTTCAGACTACTATTATTTCAATAATTACAGATCTCTCTCTTTCAGGAAAGGCCCAGGCCTCCTGCCACCACCATGCTTACACAGAGGTGCAACAGCCTTTGAACCTATAGTAAATGACCAGGTGAGAAGTGGTTGTCTCAACTGATGATTGCACACCAGGCACAGCTCTTCTGCACACATTGAAGCAGTATGGCTGCCAGCCTACCAGAACAGTTGCTTGGGCTGGAGAAGACAGTATCAGCTCTCTCTCAGAGAACATACCACCACTCCTCACCTCACTAGCTCACATGATGCTCTGGCTTCGGTCAGGTTTCTGGGTGGTGAGGCCATCAGGTCAGGGCTCCATGCCACACAGTAAGAGTTGCTCACATAAGATTCAGGAAAACACTACAATGAACAGCAGAAAAAGGCAGCACTAAATAGCAGCACGTTTGGTTGGACAACAGCCCAGGGTTTTACTCTTTGGAGTAAACATACTGCAGGGCAGGTGGCTTGGAAGTCTAGCAGGAGATGTTATCGGGCAGCTGGTCAGAGGAAGTGGAAATCATTGGTTTAATCAGTTTTCCTGACACTTCAGTGATCTCAGCTGTGTGTTCCTGACTGCTCATTTCATCTTTGCCTCAACCCAAATAGTAACAATGAAAAGGTGGCTGTAAACCTGGATTAAACATCATTTATGGATGTGTGGCAGAAGAAAGTGACTTTGGCAGCTTCACTGCTAAAGCTGACAATGTCTCCTTCAGAAGTTTGGGTCAGGAGAAATTCTTCCAAGAGTAAAAAAAATTCAACAGATTCTTATCTGCAAGAAGGCATTATTTATAGACCAATGCACAGTGAAAACAGAATGAATAA